TTATTCTGCTGTGGTTTGAGAAGATGTGTGGTATAATATCGATGTTTTTAAATGTATTGAGACTTGCTTTATAGCCGAGCATATGGTCTACTTTGGAGAATGTTCATGTAGAGATGAGAAGAATGTATACTCTGCAGTTGTTGGGTAGAAAGTTCTGTAGATGTTTGTTAGGCCCCGGTCTATAGTCTAATTTAAGTCCAGTGTTTGTTAATTTTCTGCTTCTATTGTCTGTCTAGTAATGTCAATGGGATATCAAAATCAACCACAATTATGGTATCACTATCGATGTTTTCTTTTTTCCTCCTCCTTCCTTCCCTCCCTCCCTCCCTCCCACTCTCCCACTCTCCCTCCCTCCCTTCCTTGTTGGAGTTTCACTCTTGCCCAGTCTGGAATGCAGTGGCATGATCATGGCCAATGCAACCTCAACCTGCTGGACTTCGGCAATCCTTTTGCCCCAGCTTTCCAAGTAGCTGGGACCACAGGCATGCTCCATCATGCCAGGCTAATATTTTGATTTTTTTTTTTTTTTTGTAGACTGTTGACTAAGAATTTGTTCCCTTTAGTAGAGTCAGGAAAGGGAACCTACGTGAGCAGAGTGCCATTTATCTCAGCTGGGGTAAATTTGCATCATTGCTGTTTGGGGAGAATTCCTTTCTATTAAAGGATAGGCCTTTGTTAGGGAGAAGGATCTGGCAAGGTTTCACAATGACTATTCTTTCCCCCTTCTGCCAGGGCCATGGGGAATTGTGCTTTAATTCTCAGAATCTCCCTATGAAATCTAATTGATATTCCTGAAGGGAAACTGTATGTGCCCTCTCCCTACCCAACCCCATGATAGCAGCCACCAGGAGTGTCTTACTCTCACATTAGTCCATATTCAGGCTCCAGCAGTTCAAAATTACAAGTTAAGTGTGTTCTTATCAGTTTAGGGCATCTGGGAGCTTCTGCTCCAAATAGGCAAGTATCAGATGCTGTATTTCTCTGAATGTGCCTTTCTCCAGATTTTGGGTGGCTGTCTGCCCTGTGACCTCAATTATCTAGTAAGTCCTAAAGTCATTGATTTACTTTGTCCAGTTTTTCTTGTTGTCAGGATGGGAGTGGCGACTTCCAAGTTCTTTACATATTGAAGCTGAACATACAATACTTTCTTGAGTAAGACTTCCTACTACTGGAAACACAGAAGTAGTTGTAACAGTGAGAATTGAATTATCTACTTATATTTGTGTTTGGGTCACTGAAATAAAGACTCCAGTAAAAATTATACTCATACACAGTAATTAATTTGGGAGCTATTTTAGCAGAAGTTTTTGAGGAATGAATTGTCCATGCTGATATAGGTAGTACTTGAGAATAAAAGGTTATGATTCGGGTGGTGGGACCCACAGTGATTAGCAGGATCTACAGCTGAAATATTAGATTGTGTCCAGACTACAATGCTAGACCTGAAGTATGCTTTTTTTGTGTGGTTAGCATGAAATCACTAATATATTTTGAAAGTTAGGACACACATGAACAATTAATGTGGCAATAGTATTGGATAAACTGAAAGGACACTGAGCTAGCAGTTTTAAACTCAAGATTTGGTGTCTAATAAAGAGGAAAAACTGAGAAAAGCTGTAGCATCTTAATAATGATAAAATAAAAACTTGAGAGGCAAAGTCCAGGAGTCTGGCTAGAATATGGTTTGAGATGTGACCAGAACATTAAATCTGAGGGTCACTTGCCTGAAGATGATAGCTGAAACCTTGAATGGAGATGTGATCCTTAGAGAACAAGAAGTATGATTAAAACATCTGGGGATGTGTAAATTTAAGGGGATTGGAAAAAATAAAGGCAGCAGTTGAAAAAATAGAAAGATGAGAGTAAAACCAGAAAAATTAAAAAAAATTAAAGTAAAAGATTATTCTTTTCTTCAACTTATTTCTATCTTATAAGGGCAGATACTGAAGTGTATGGATTCCACAGTCTTTACAGAGGAAAATACCTTCCTGTGTGGTTGGCCTGAATGGTCAATTTATTGTTAAAGGTTTTGCATGAATTTTTTTATGGTGGAAAAAGATGTAAATTTTCCACAGAAAATTGTTGGCATTTATCAGGTAAGTGTCCACATTTATGGGATGATGCCCCATTATTGGAATCCAATCAGGTAGAATAGTGATCTATGTAAGCTATAATTGTGATGATAGCCAAATATAGTGGAGACATACCTTGTTTTATTGAGCTTTGCTTTGTGCTTCATAGATGTTGCATTTTTTACAATTGAAGGTTTGTGACAACCTGCATTGTGCAAGTCTATCAGTGCCATTTTTCTAACAGCAGTTGCTCACTTCATGTCTCTGTGTCACATTTTGATAATTCTCACGTTAAAAATTTGTTCATTATTATTATATCTGTTATGGTGACCTGTGATCAGTCATCTTTGATGTTAGTATTGTGTTTTGGGACTCAACAAACCACACCCATATAAGATGGCAAACTTAATCCATAAATGTTGGGTGTTCTCACTGCTCTGACTGGCTGTTCCTTCATGTTTCTCCCTTTCCTTGGGCCTATTTCCTGAGACATAATATTGAGAGTAAGCCAATTAGGAACTCTACAATGGCCTCTAAGTGTTGAAGTGAAAGGAAGAGTTGTACATCACTCACTTTGAATAAAAAGTCAGAAATGATTAAGCTTAGTGAGGAAGGCATGTCAAAAACTAAAACAGGCCCAAAGTTAGGCCTCTTAAAGTCAAAGTAGGCCTCTTAAGTCAAAGTTAACCAAACTGTGAATAAAAAGGAAAAGTTCTTGAAGGAAAAGGAAAATGCAATTTTAGTGAACACACAAGTGATAAGAAAGGAAAACTGCTATCTTGTTGATATGATTCTTTTTGTGGTCTGGATAGAAGATAAAACCAGCCACATTTCCCTAAGCCAAAACCTAATCCAGAGCAAGGCTGTAACTTTTTTTCAGTCATATGAAGGGTAAAAAAGGTGAAGAAGCTGCAAAAGAAAAGTTGAAAGCTGGCAGAGTTTGGTTCATGAGGTTTAAAGAACAAACCATCTCCATAACATTAAAAGTGCAAGGAGAAACAGCAAAAGTTGATGGAAAAGCTGCAAGTTAGCCAGGAAATCTAGCTAAGATTGTTGAAGAAGGTGGTTACATGAAATAACAAATTTTCAGTGTAGATTAAACCGCCTTCTGTTAGAAGAAGATGCCATCTAGAACTTTCTGAGTTAGAGAGAAGTCAATGCCTGAATTCCACACTTCAAAAGGACAGGTTGACTCTTGTTAAGGTCTCATGCAGCTGGTGACTTTACATTGAAGCCAGTGTTCATTTACCATTCTGAAAATCCTAGGGTCCTTAAGTATTATGGTGAATCAACTCTGCCTGTGCTTTATAAATGGAACAAAAAGTCTGGATGACAGCACATCAATTTACAGCATGGTTTATTTAATAGTTGCAGCCCACTTTTGAGACATACTGCTCAGAAAGATATCTTTCAAAATATTACTGCTTATTGACAATGACAATGCACATTGTCACCTAAGATCTCTAATGGAGATATACAAGATTAGTGTTGTCTTCATGCCTGCTTACACAACATTCATCCTGCAGCTCATGAATCAAGATGTAATTTTGACTTTCTAGCTTTATTATTTAAGAAATACATTTTGGAAGGCTATAGTTGCCATAGTTATTGATTCCTCTGACAGATATGGACAAAGTAAATTGAAAATCTTCTAGAAAGGATTCACTATTCTAGATGCCAGTAAGGGCAATAAAGATTTTGGAAGTTGACTCCAACCCTCAAGGATGATTTTGAGGAGCTCAAGACTTTAGTGGAGGAAGTAATGTAGATGTGGTAGAAATAGCAAGAGGACTATAATCAGAAGTGAAGCCTAGAGATGTGACTGAATTGCTGTAATACCATAAAACCTGAATAAATAATTACTTCTTATGGATGAACAAAAAAAGTGGAGATGGAATCTTCTTCTGGCGAAAATGCTGTCAACATTGTTAAAATGACAACCAAGGACTTAGAAGACAACATAAACTTAGTTGATAAAGCAGCAGTTGGGATTGAGTGGATTGACTTCAATTTTGAAAGAAGTTCTACAGTGGATAAATGCTATCAAACAGCATTACATGTTACAGACAAATATTTTGTGAAAGGATGAAATCAATTGACGCAGCCAACTTCATTCTTGTCTTATTTTAAGAAATTGCCACAGTCGTTCTAGCCTTCAGCAATCACCATCCTGATCCATCAGCAGTCATTAACATCGAGGCAAACCCACTACCAGCAAAAAGATGATGATTCACTAGAGGCTAAGATGATTGTTAGCATTTTTCAGCAAGAAGGTATTTTTAAAATACATAGTTTATTGGAACATAATGTTATTGCACACATAATAGACTATAGCATAGTGTAAACATAACTTTTTAAACATTGGGAAATTTATATGATTAGTTTTACTGTGGTGATCTGGAACCAACCTGCAGTATCTCCAAGGTATGCCTGTACATGGAATGACCACTATTTCAGAGGTGACTGCAAATTATTTACTCTACATTCTCCCAATCAATATATAACTTTCATAATATATCATTTTGTTTGGACATTTGTATTTATATGTACTGTTGACCCTTGAACAACATGGGTTTGAATTGTGTGGGTTCGCTTACATGTGGACTTTTTTTCAGCAAATGTGGATAAAATACAGTATTTTCGGGATGCAAACCCTGCGTTTATGGAGGACCAACTTTTGTATATGTGGGTTCCACCTGGCTGACTGTGGGACTGGAGAATACATGGATCTTGGCATATGTGGGCAGTCCTGGAACTAATCTCCGACAGAGGGACAGCTATGCTGTATGTATACATATGCATACATATGTGGAATTAGGTCCTTTACACCTGGCATCTGGTAGCTTGTTTCTCCTTAAGATTGCATGATTAGTGTTTAAAGGAAACAAAGGAAATGCTTGGTATATTTCTTCTATAGCAACAAGGCAGTTTTTATCAAGTTTATGAAATGTAATTTTATTCATTGAAGGGCATGTCTTATTAGACCCACCATCCCCAAATAAATAAAACCCCAGCATAATTGAAAGCACACATACACACAGTTTTACAGGATACAATACAAAGTCAATTCTGATGATGTTCTTACTTGCATTTACTAAAAACCCCCTCACAGATTATAATCAATCTCTAAATCACTATCTTGCATAAAGAGAAAAGTAGAGCACAATTATTTCATAGGTTCTGGAATGAGAATCTGAGAAGATTTGCTTTTAAAAGATATGATATATCACAAACCAAGTCACATTCTGTAACATTACAACATGGAATTTTACTTAATCAAAAATAAAAGCAAACTGGCTGAAGAAGGCTATACCTTTTCTTTTTCAACATTACACTAATTTTTATTTTTGGCATGAATTATTAACCTTTTCCATTAGTAGGAAAATGTGCTCTGCAAACTCTCGGAGGGCACCGCGGCCACCGTTACATTTGCAAATATATCCAACAGCCTTCTGGGCAGTGGAGCAGGCATCAGCAGGAGCGCCACTCAGGCCTACTCTCTTCAAGCACTCTTCATCAGACACTTCATTTCCTATCAAGTAAAATAAATACAGACCAAACATTTAAAAAGACAAAGAATATTCTAGCTAAATAATGCAAATAGCAACAAATAAGTAATTCTGGCAACTTCAGTAAGACCTAAGGGCACTGCACATACAAATACTAAAGATTAGATGAAACAAAAATATTTTAAAGTACAATTGAGGTCTAGAGTTTCCTCTAAGCAATTAAAAATAGACTTATTAGCTAGAGGAGGAGAAAGGAATATGCTTTCTGCTTGCCATGAACATTATAACTGTTAAAAGCTCTACATAAAAGTCACAAATTATTTAAATTTTTTATTAAGGAAAATGTCAAATATATGTAAAAACCCCAATTTCATATTGAATAATGATCAATGTTTTAAAGCATTTAGCAATGTATTTTTCTGTTCTCTGCCGCTTAGTTTCTTTGCAGGGGGAGAGTGGGTAGGAGAAGTTCCCAGACATTCTATTTTACCTTAAAACTCTTTAGCAGTTATCTCTAATAGATAAATGTATACATATTTTAAGTGACATAATATAATTGAACTTACAAAATCAACCATAATTCCTTAATATCATCTAACAACCTGGTATGTGTTCAGCTATCCCCAACTGTCTCAAAATTGTCTTTTTATAGTTGACTTATTTGAATCAGGTGCCAAATATGGTCCACATGTTGCACTTTGGTGACATATATCTTAAATCTCTTTTAATCTGTAATAGTTCTCATTTATTTGTATGCCACTTGCTGAAAAATTACCATTTTTAAAGAATTAAAATGAACACTAAATCATACTAACGTAATTATATCTGTTCTCTCCTGCCTTCCCTTTTTTGGAATAGGATGAATTTCAGAAATTCCCAGTACCTTAGATTCACTATTGTGAGTAAAACTATTACTATACTTTAGACCACATACTACTAATAAAACTGTGGTTAAAAAAGAGTGTTTTAAATTTTTTCTACATTTATCTACTGACATTCTTTATTATTAAATGTATGAAATTTAAATTATTTTCACTAAGATAATGAAAATCAAAGTATTTTTTTCCATAATCAGGTCTTTAAACTAAGCTCTGCTCTACTTAGTAAATTTTACTTTTAAAGTATTATTTTTTAAGGAACATATTGTTTTACATTTATGTGCCCCACTTAAAAAGATGTCATATAAGTAATGCATATTTTTGGTAGAAACTTTTTAAAGAAATAAAGGCAAAAAAAAAAAAATCAAAATCATCCCAATTGTCACTATTTGTGGATAATCACTATATTTTGGCACATTAGTCTCAAGTTTTGCCTATATAAATGATACACTTAATATTATTACTATTTCTAGGCACTATATTGAACATTTTATATAACCTTTGTTTTTCTTTCTAATGGCCTTATAAAGTTTGGTTTGTGTTTATATTATAAATACAGAAGCTTTCTCAAGGCTCCAATTATATTATTGTAGAATAATAATATATAAGCCGGGCACTGTGGCTCATGCCTGTAATCTCAGCACTTTGGGAGGTAGAAGTGAGAGGATTGCCTGAGCCCAGGGGTTCGAGATCAGCCTGGGCAACTTGGCAAGAACTTGTCTCTCCAAAAAAAGAAAAAAATTAACTGGGCATGGTGGCATGCATCAGTAGTTCCAACTACTTGGAAGACTGAGGTGTAAGGATGGTCTGAGTCCAGCAGGTTGAGGCTGCAGTGGCCATAAGAGTGCCACTGCACTCCAGCCTGGGTGACAGAGTGAGATTCTAACTCAAAAAACAAGAAAAGGAAGAAGAATATATATTACTACAAATATACTATATGTAGTATAGCTGAAATTTGTTATATGTTGCATTAAAGTTTTTTTCTTCTTACAAAAACTGGACGATTCTTTAACAAACACTCTCTAGTTTTTACCTCAATTAAATCTTCATGTGTGGTTCAAGGGCTATTTCTGAAGTTCTCAGATCATATATGTCTAAAATATTTTGAGGTTCACATATCTCTTATATATTTTTTTCATACATGATTTATAGTTATTATATATCTTAATAGCTTGTCATTGTTAATATTTAAAATAGCAACATAAGCTCTGTAAGCAATAAGCTTATAGTTCCAGCAACCAGTCCATGACTGCATACTGTAAGCACCTGATAAATACATCTGCTTAATATCAAAGTGAAAAACTTGTTACATCTGACCATGTCAATAAGTACAGATTACAGCATTGTTTTTAATGGTTGCTAGTATTCCATTTTGGGAATATTCTATTTCTTGCAGGATATTTAGGTGGATTCTTTTTCTTCCACTGTTGGCAAATTTGTCCAATTTCTTTACTGGAGATAAAAAGTATGTACATCTTAATAACAACAAAAATATTTCGAGTGTGATTCCTATATATTAGAAACTCTGCTAAGTGCTTTACCCAGATTTACTAATCCCTATAAGAGCTCTATATGACAATAGGTAGGTACTCTTGTTGTCTCCAGTTATAGATGAGAAAACTAGGTTAACCATATCAAAACTGGCTGGTCAGTGGTGTGATTCAACTCTATAGCTTATGCTAGTAAATCATCCTAATAGAATATATTTGATACATATTACCAAAGTCACCTCCAGAAAGCTTGTCCTAATTTAATATGTTGATCAGCATTGTAAGACATACAAATCATGCTACTTTGGAGGATTTTCTTTCATATTTATCCATTTCTTAAAAAAAAGTTAAATAAATCCTAGTCCATTTTACTTTGGCTGAACAAAAAGATACCAACCAAGATATGCCACTTCTTTCCAGCAAAGGCCCATCTCTTTTCTCCATTCATCTACAACTGCTAGCTTCTCTGATACATTGATTTCCATTTTGCAATCCAGTTTTAAAGAAGAAAGTGTCTGCTTTGAACAGGCCCTTTCTGAGATCAGCCTCACCTTGAATGGGGAGAGGGGAAAAGAAGGGAAAAAAATAGAAAGTGAAGGAAACAAATTTTTCATAATAAAATAAAGCCTTGCAGATAATCTAAGTCACAAATGAGTAGTTCTTTGACCTCCTGAAGGTCCAAGTAGGTAAAATCAACTGTCATTAAAATGCTGATACTTTGTTAAGCAGTTTGTTTTATTTCTAATAGTCCAATAAAAGTGAGACACATTGTTTTCTATTATAGAAAGGATTCATATACAGGTAAAAAAAAAATACAACATACATTGTCTGATACTAATCTAAAATTCTCCTATAATTCAATTTATCCAGAAAAAAAGTCTATAACCTCTCTCTTGTGCTGCTTAGTAAAACATATTTAAGATTTCTAGTGAATTATAATTATCTTAGCTTTCATCTTAAAAAATACACTTAAACATTAAGTCATTTTGAATTAAAATTCATTAATAAGAATAACCTACATTTTAAAAATCCACAAGATATTTCCATTTTTCTTTCTTTTTGTAGTATTTAGAGATGAGGTCTCTGTCCAGGCTAGCCCAGGCTAGAGTGCAGCTGTACAATCTTAGCTCACTGCAGCCTTGAAATCCTGGGCTCAAACCATCCTCTTGTCTCATTCTCCTGTTTAGCTAGGACTATAGGCATACACCACCACACCCAGCTAATTTTTTAAACTTTTTGTAGAGATGAGGTCTCACTATGTTGCACAGACTGGTCCTGAATTTTTGGCTAAGGCAATCGTTCTGCTTTGGCCTCCCAAAGCGCTGGGATTACAGGCATGAGTCACTATACCTGGCCAATATTTGCCTCTTTCTAAATGCCGACACCTATTGTCTAGGAAATCTTTCTTGTCACAAGATCCTATGGAAAATATTGGGTAGCTCCCATTTAAAAAGTATATGATTATACTTATGAAATAAACAGGAAATATTTTCTGATTGACAAATTCCTAATTTTACTACTCTGATAGTAATTAGTATAATTTTCTAGGCATTTGAAGACCATATTTCAGCTATTCTAGTAGTTAATGCTAAAAATTTAAATATCTTAATTCCTTCCATTTTCTTTTGCCCTGAATCAAAATCTTGTAAAATATTACTATATTCAGGGAACACATACCTCAATACCACTTTTCTTTAATAAGCTTATCCCAATAGCATCTTTTACATCATAAGATATTATTTCTTTTTGGTCTCCTGATACATAAATGTGGCCATTGGTGAGACATCCATCAATATTGCAAATCAAAAGTTTTATCTCCTTAAGCTTCTCTTTGCCAAAATAGCCATATCTAAAAGAAACCAAAATACACCTTTGAGTACAAGTACAATACTCATCACTTCTCTTCTAGCTAAAACCAGTGATTTAAATAAATCATCCATTTAATTATTCAAGCATTACTCTTCAAATTTACTTCACATATACACTTCAACTTACTATCCAGATTATATGTTTCTCAGTTCATTGAATAAACCATGTAAAAGCCTGTTTTACATATCTCTTCCCCACCTAGGGAAACTAATTACAAAAATCCTAAGATGTTTGGAGTATCAGAAATCAGTATCTAGAAGTACAATTAAACACATCTACTAAAAATAATGTTGACTCTAGTGCAAAGGCTATACAAGTCGCCTTCTTCTTTTTTTTTTTTTTACCTTAATACTCTTTGTTCTGCAATAGGCCAGTCAATATCCACATCTATATCCACACTATGCTCAGCTCGCATTTCATAGTATGCCATTTTTCCACCCTAAAAACAGTACAAATGTTATGAGTACTGTTTTTATCATTTACTCGCATATATCAAAACTTATTATAATACAGAACAATGAATTCATTTTACATTATTGAGAAAAATGAATTACCCAGTAAAATCAGTTATGTAAAAAGAACAATTTTTTAAAGAGGAGAAGGTTCATACACAAAAAACAGTCTTAACATTTTTCAAATTCTAGCTATACATTTCAAGTTCCCTATTTTTAAAAAATGAATTTCTATTTTAACACTGAAAAAACTAGAAATGATACCCATTCTCCAGTATTCTGACTTCAAGGGACTTTCTGGAGAGTAATTATTCAAATGACCAGATAAATTACTAGAAAATTTCATTTTCAGAATTGTTAGTCTCTTCACAAAACATGTTACAATGAGGAACATCATTTTTCTCCAC